GCTGAATTTTCAGCATCATTATTCCAGTCTTCAGTGTCTCATGATATTTCAGAAATCATTCTAATATGTTGATTTGCAGCTCAAGAAACATTTCTGATTATTATTATTATTATTATCAGTGTTGAAAACAATTGCGCTGCTGCATATTTTTGTGGAAACCATGATACATTTTTATTTTTCAGGATTCTTTGATGAACAGAAAGTTCAAAATAGGCAAATCCTGCCGATATGAGCAGATAAGATAACAGGATGAAACTTTGGCCTGCAGATGTGAGTAAAAGAGGCCGAGCAGGAGAAGTGTGAGCCGCAGTCAGGTGTGAGCCACTGATTGAGAGACAGCTGTTTGTGCTGAATGTGTGATTGTATCATGCTGTGGACGGCTGCTCTCTGTCTGTGTCTGTGCGTTTGCTCTCTGGCGGGTCCCATCCTGGTACGCCATGGGGCGTCTGAGCGCAGCAAACTGCTGCTTGTCTCCTTTGACGGCTTCAGGTGGGACTATGACAGGGACGTGGAAACGCCGCACCTGGATGCCATGGCGAAAGACGGGGTCAAAGCCACATACGTGACACCGGCGTTCCTCACCATCACCAGCCCGACACACTTTACCATCCTAACAGGTAAAGATGCTGACATATGCAGTCTAAAATACATTGTGCATGAATATGTATTTAATATGTATTTAAAGTGAGAGTTATATATAATTTTAGAAATTTCAGAGTGAAAACTCTTTCAAAGTAAATCATACAAAATTTTTTTATTATGTATATAATGATATGAGAAAGCATATGAAGCATATGACTGATGAGAAAGCATCTCTGTCTTCAGGTAAATACATTGAGAATCACGGTGTTATTCACAACATGTGGTTTAACAGCAGCACCTGGGAGAAGAAATCCTACTATAAATCCCAGTTCGTGAATGAGTGGTGGGACAACGGGAGTTTGCCCATATGGATCACGGCTCAGAGACAGGTACGCATGTCTGATGCTCAGAAAAAGGGTTTGCAGGATTGATCCCATTAACCAACATGTGAAAATATATATGCAGTGGTGCAGAACTACAGTGGCATGCAGTGATATGTGTCCAAACCTACCTGGCCCTACGTGAAAAATTAATTGCCCCCACTGTTAAATCATGAAAGATCTGTGATTAACCACATTATTTTAGAAAGCAGAGTTAAATTTCACTAGCCACACCCAGGCCTGATTACTGCCAGACCTGTTGAATCAAGAAATCACTTAAATAGAACCTGTCTGACAAAGTGAAGCATGCTTAAAGAGCAACACATCATGCCGCGATCTAAAGAAATTCAAGAACAGATGAGAAACAAAATAGTTGACATGTATCAGTCTGGAAAGGGTTATAAAGCCATAAGGCTTTGAGACTCCAGTGAGCCATGATCAGAGCCATTATCCACAAATGGAGAAAACTTGGAACAGTGGTGAACCTTCCCAGGAATGGCCCGCCTACCAAAATTACCCCAAGAGCACAGCGACGACTCATCCAAGAGGTCACAAAAGACCCCACAACAACATCCAAAGAACTGCAGGCCTCAC